TTTGTTATATTTATTTTATTTTCGTGTGTGTGACACTTTCTGTATCCAATCATCTGCTAGTGGACACTTAGATTTATTCCATATCATTGCTATTGTATATAGTGCTGCAAGAAACATACCAGTGTAGGTATCTTTTTGACATAATGGTTTATTTTCCATTGAGTAGATACTCAGTGGTGGAATTGATGGCTCCAACAGTGAATCTATAATGCATACTGAAGATGCTTTTCAGGGATAGGTTATATCCAAAAAAACAAATGTAAGCTCTATGGGAGATAGGTATTTAGAACAAATGAGAGGAAGTGTGCTTGAATTATCCCAGCCTCTCCCTTTCCCACATTTCCTCCCTAATATTAGAAACTTTTCCTCTTCAGTTCTATGTGAACATCTGTCTTTACCACAGGGTGGTTGTGGGTGTTAAATCATATGTTACATCCTACATAAAAGACATGGTGCAATATCTGACCCACCACAGGTGTTCAGTAAATGGCTGTCACTGTGATGGGCTGGGGAAGACCCTACTATTAATGTTCTAGCAGTAACAGCAACAATTTTTAATAACATGGAAAGGGAGAGAAAAAGGCATCCCTGAGATAGCTAGGAAGACTTTTGCTTTTAAAGTTAGTCATTTTCTGAAAAATTTTCTAAGCATATTTACAAGCTAAAATTCCACCACTTGACCTAAATATCTTCTCGGGTGATACAACTAATTAATTAATTAATTAATAATCCACTTATTTGTCAATTTGCTATATTTTATGGTTATGAGCTTTTTTCTAAAATAATCTCTAGCCCAAATTTAAACCTAACCTGTTTATTATATAAGAATGCTTATAGATTTTATTCAATAATTTAGTCCAATAAGTTACGTAAAGTATCCCTCTCTATATATAATTTACACATTGTCACATAGAAAGTGTTGTTCTTGCTAAGTGTGATGGCTCATGCCTATAATCCCAGCACTTTGGGAGGCTGAGTTGGATGGATCACCAGTTCAGGAGTTTGAGACCAGCCTGGCCAACATGGTGAAACCCCCTCTCTACTAAAAATACAAAAATATAGCTGGGTGTGGTGGCGCATGCCTGTAATCCTAGCTACTTGGGAGATTGAGGCAGGAGAATCGCTTGAACTCGAGAGGCAGAGGTTGCAGTGAGCTGAGATCATGCCACTGCACTCCCACCTGGGTGACAGAGTAAGACTCTATCTCAAGAAAGAAAGAGAGAAAGAAAGAAGAAAGAAGAAAGAAAGAAAGGAAGAAAGAAAGAAGGAAAAGAAAGAAAACAAAGGGAAAGAAAGAGGTTTTATTTTCCCCCCAATGTTGATGATGTTAATTTAGTTCATATGTGCTTGCATTTACATTAGTCAAAAGAAATGCTTATAGTACATAATTGAGGAAAGTTGCTGAGTAGAGCTGCTATTTAAAGATTTATAGATGTGTGAGAGGTATTTCTATTAATTAGCATCCTCGAATTGGTCTAATTATGTCTGTGCCTCACATGTCTTTCAAAGATCTAGTATTCTTTGCTGTCTATTCTTGTTCTCAAACCAGTTCTCTCTGTGGTGGAAGAATGCATGGGGGCTTATTTTGACAGTAAGAGACTATCAAATAGTTGCAATATTGGAATAAAATAGCTATCTGAAAGTAAGAATGTATTGTTTCCACTTTGTTAAAGGCACAAAAATGGTAACAAATCATGGCAAACTGGTGGATTTGAAAAAGCTTCCTGGCAAATGCCAGTACCTATCTCCAGCATGGCACAAAAACGTTGAAGTATGACACTGACTTTTCAGTGAGTATCGTTTAGGAGGATGAGAGTTTTTGGGAGTACTGCATATTTTCTACTATTTTGCATGTTAGGCTAACCAGGAAGCACTTGGCTCAGAGGTACTTTTAACTACATCCTTACACCCATAGTAAATATTTTGCCCCACCTATCAGTGTGCAATGTCTTTCTGGACATCCATTCCAGTTGAACTGATCTGACGTGAATTTCATCTCCAGTGCTTAGAGATGAGGCCTTGACAGCTCTGTTCTAAATGGGGAGAATAGCGGTGAGAGGGTATACGGGAAAATAAGGCCTTCAAAACCCCCTGCCTGAAAAGACCTCCGTTTGTTAAGGTGGAATCAGACACGGCTGAAATCCTCAAAGGAAAGAGGGTTAGCTTTGAAGAATGGAGGAATAAGAAATACAGATGCTCTAATGAACAGCACTGACTAAATTGATTTTCATTATTATTGTTAGCCTATCAGAAAAGACATATGCAAGTCAAAGGACAAAGTATTTTTTTTAACGATGTTGTTTTAAAAAATCAGGCTATAGAGTGCAGATTTAAATATTGATTTCACTGGGTTTTTTTGAGCGGCATGGACCATACGGCCCAGTTGTCTATGCAAACGTTGTGCAGACGATAATAACCGCTGATAACCTCACTGCAGCATCTATCATCTTGGCAGAGTTGTTAGAGCAGTGAAGATCCGCAAAATCAGGCGTGCTGCTTGATTTTGCCGGCAGCAAAGGTACCGAAGATACCGGGAAGACTGGTCAGTATTGCTCTTCCTGTGGTTGCTACTATTATTGTTTGTTTTGTTGTTGTTGTTTTGTGTTTTGGCAGAGGCCAGCGCTGTTTTCGGGGTGAAAGAAGACCGTCAGCAGACCTCAGCCTTGCCGCTAGAACTCCCCAGTCTTCGGTCGAGTCCGCCGATTCGCAGCCTGAGGCAGGGAGGCGCGGGCACCCGCAGGTGGCGCCCCACGTCCGTGTTTGCGTCCTCGCCCGCGCTCCAGGCGCAGCTCGGAAACCCAGCGCGTCTCCCCGGGTCGTTCGAGCGAGCGCGGAGCCCGCAATTTGATAAATAAGCGCGAGCGCCATCCGCTTCACCAGCCCGAGGTCCAGAGGAGCAGACACACAGACCCGGGCCGGGGCGCCTCTTGCAGCCCTGAAGCAACCGGACAGTTCCCAAACGGGATTCTGGAACCGCAGCTCCTAAATCACCAAATTCTCAAGCTTTTTCTCTCTCCGTCCCAGCCATCCCAGTCTTCTTTTTTATTTTTATTTTTTTAACCTTTTTTTTTTTTTGTCCCTTTCATTATGAAAGTGGTCACGCCATTAAAGATTAAGACTTGGAGGGAATTGGGGAAAGAAAAGAAAGAATCTAAAAGAAGAGAAGCGACTGGTGCTTTTAAGGGTGCCTAATTTTCAAAAGAGACGTCTGGGAGGATTTTGCTCTGGGCGTTTGGGTGAGCCGGACCTGGGCGTTGGAGGGTGCCGCGGGCGCGGGAGCGGAGCCGGTTCGGAGTCCCGGGGCGGCGGCAGCGCTCTGCTGTGCCCTCTGGGTCTGGCGGGGCTGCGTGGCCGAGGGTTACCCACTAGGGAGCCGCGCTGTGGGCGCGAAGCAGAGGGGTTGGAGGCGCCCTGGTGCACGGCGCGGGGCGCTGAGCCGGGAGAGGCGGGGGGCGCTGAGCCGGCCAGACTCGGGGCTCGCGGTCACGGGCTCAGCGCCTAAGCCGGCGCGTGGGGCGCGGGGCGTGGTGCACCCCTGAAGCTGCGCGGGCTGGCGCGGGAAAACGGCAGGGCGGGGCGGCGCGGTTATTGGCCACGCGCTGGGAGCAGGGTCGCGCTCCGTGTCCGCCTCCCGACAGCTCCCGCTGGCCTCATTTTCTCTAAGCAGAGCAACTTCGCGGACCGCGGAGCTCGCCCAGCATGGATGTTCCAGGTAACCACCCCGACCTGCCCTCCCTCCCCTCTGCATGCAGGCGCCTTCTGCGTGGATTTTGGCCAGGACTGTCGCTGGTCCAGGTCGAGGGTGGGGGCGGTGGCGAGGGAGAAGGGAAATCATGTAGGATCGGCGCTGTGGACAGCGGGTGTTTATGAAGCGCCAACTTCTCCGTTCTTAGAAAGAACACTGGAAGAGTGAATGGGAGCCTGTGGGCGGTGAGGGGGCGGCTTCTTTGCGCGTCTCTGGGCTGGTATTGAAATGGCCTGTCTGCTTTCCTGGGAGGAGCAGAGACCGGGCAAAAGTGCAGGCGGGCGCGTAAGTTCGCAGAAACCTGCAGGTGCTGCCGCCCAGCCGGGAAAGAGAGAAGCCCCGGGGTCTGGAAACCGGAGCTGGAGAATAAGCGGAGCCTGTGATTCCGTCGTTGGAATCTGTCCTTCGCCGGAGAGAGGAATCCCAGGGCTTTCTCCACGGGGCTCGCTAGTGGCTGCAGGGACGTTGGAAGTGGGTGTTGGTTTTACTGCGTGCGTGTGTGGTGTGTGTGTGTGCGTGTGTGTGTCATTTCCCCCTCTTAATCTTATTCACCCTCAGCAGATTGCTGGGGGTTGTTATTTGGGTGGAAAATAGATAAAATCTATTACCAAAGGGACTTAAATGGACTTTAGATACCTCTTGAGGATGGAAAAATAGAGGATAGCAGGGAAACAAGGGAAAGAAAAAGGGCTCCGTGGTGCTCCTCCGAGGAAACGCCGTGAGACGAAGGCGAGAAGGGAAGCCCCCGTGGGTTCTTCTCTGCCTGCGTCTCAGCCCCCTCCGCGCCGGTGAATGGGCGGGGTGGCGGTGACGCCTTCTGAGGGTCTTGGGCCCGTCTGAGCGACTAGGACCTGCAGAAGGGCGCCCCCCTCCCTCGCCGCAGCCCCGCGCGCCGCTCGGAGCCTTCAGGGATGCTCTGCCCGCCGCGCCCGGGCGTTTCTCCGGACCTGTTGTGCCAGATCGGAAAGCGGGTTGGCTGCGCGCGGGACCAAGGGGGTGGCCTTCGGGGAGAGGCCCCGAGCCGCAGTTCCCCTTCTTCCCGGTGGCTCCATCTCCCGGTGTAAGGCTTTGGGTTCTGTGCCCTGACAGGTCCACGGGCGCCTTTCTTCTGAGAACGACCCTGGCCTTGACCGTCAGAGCGGGGGACCAAGGCCCGCGGAGGCTGCTCCGGGCCCCGCGCGCTCCTGCGCGCCCTCCCGCGCTACTCCGGCCCCCGCCGGCCTCCGCCCCCGCGCGCCGCCCCCCACCAGCCCAGATGCCGGCGCCGGGCCGGGGGCCACGCGGGCTGCGGCTGACCATGCCCGGGCGCCGGGGGGCGCTGCGTGGGCCGGGCGGCTGCCTGGGGGTGGCGCTGGCCCTGCTGCTGCTGCTGCTGCCCGCCTGCTGCCCCGTGCGGGCGCAGAACGACACGGAGCCCATCGTGCTGGAGGGCAAGTGCCTGGTGGTGTGCGACTCCAGCCCGTCGGCGGACGGCGCCGTCACCTCCTCCCTGGGCATCTCCGTGCGCTCCGGCAGCGCCAAAGTGGCCTTCTCCGCCACGCGGAGCACCAACCACGAACCGTCCGAGATGAGCAACCGCACCATGACCATCTATTTCGACCAGGTCAGCCGCCGGCCTGCCCACCCCGCTGCCAGCCCAGCCCGGGGAGAGGGTCGGGGACCTGCGCGCGCGGGCTGGGGTTCAGGCTTCTAGGACGTGGAGCTCCCAGGCTCTGTCCTCCCCTCTGTCCTGCCATTCTCTTTCCTCCTGTTTCATAGAACGCACTCCTACTGTTTCCCTCTTCCACTCTGTGGCTTTTTTTTAAAACTTTTAAATGGTCAGCTAACTTGGCACTTGGATGAGTGAGAGGTCCTTAAGGCTAAGCTTTCTAAGAGTTCCCTAAAACTAAATATTTGAAATGTATTTCCCAAAAGGAAGCATTGCACGTTTTACTTTTCTCTGCGGGGTGGGGAAAACTTGTGGTTGACGGTCTTCAGACACCCAGGTGGCCACCTGAAGGATTGAGTGCATTTAAAATTCCCCACGCTCAAGAAAGGAGTCTTCCCAAGTCTCTGCCAGCATTTGAAAAATACATTCCTATAGCTTATTTTAAAAAAGTTTAATTAGATCCCATTTGTCTTATTTCGAGAAATACATTTGGGAAGGGATGTTTATCTTTAAAAAAAAAAAAAGTGAGGAAGAGCAGGAATGATTATATAAATACAAAACAAAATATTGTGATTATGTAAGTAAAATAAGTAAAATATATAGTAAATGAAATACAAAGAAGCCAATGTAATATGTATAATGTATACATGAATAGTGTGTTGGTACAAATTTTTAAAAAGAGCAGTGACTTACGTCATCTTAAGCCACTTAGGCCATTTGGTTCAATGCAGAAGGTTCAGAGATATGATCAGGCCTTTCCAAACCCTTCTCTGGGTTATTGATGCTCAGGGTTAGGGCTGTGAGGTTCTTTTTGTGTCCTGCTCACCTGGTTTCTGTTGTTTTTCAGAAACAATATTAAAAACATTATAGAGGTTTCCAAACTTTAGCTAACTAGCTAGTCCTTTTACCAAAGTGTTTTCCACAAAATGGAGCACCTGGCAGCCACTGACAACCTACCAAGGCTTACTGTACATGTTTAATTGACTTTCCTTTGGTCTGTTGTGCAGCTCTTAAACTTAATAACCATAAACCTACAGACACGCACTCTTGACTCTATTTAAGCCAGTGTATTTCTCTCTTAATCATTATTAAGCATCAAGTGTTTGAGGGTTTTTTTTTTTCGTGGGAGTAGACATGTGTCTCTTTCTTTAATTCATTTTCATTTACAAAACATAAAAGTATTTTGATTATGTCCAGATGGGACAACAATGGAATAGGCATCTGGAAATTAATACTCTATTAGTAAAGTTTTCTTTATGTGATGTTATTGTTATATTATTATTATTCACATACCAATGTCTTGCAGAGTTTTCATAGCATTTTAATATGTACCATGGCATTTGTGTGTCAAGAACGCTCTGTGATGTAGGGCAGGATAAGTAGTAGCAGGATTCTAATTTTATACATGAGCATACTATGGCAGGGTGGGTTCAATATTTCTCTGGCTCCCCAGGTAATGAGGAGTGAAGGTCTGCTTTTCGGGGTCTGGTTGGGTGTTCTTTCATCTACAGCAGGGATAAATTCTAACTGAATTTATCAGTTTCCAGAATTTAAAATTGAGGTGAAGGAGTTGAGGGGAAAGAAAGAAGCAGCCTCCGAGGCTTAAATGGAGAATGCTTTATTCTTTTCTAAAGCATTGTAAGGAAGAAGCGAGCGTAGCCTTGTGAGACTGGGAATACGCATCCAGAGGTGCTTGTCTTAACAATGGAGCCCGGAGTGTCTATTTCAGTCCTGTCCTTGAGTGGAGCTGAAGTGGTGCTCACAGCTGAGTTGAAGAAGCTGGAACAGGCATATTTCACAAGGCATTTCAGCGGTCCTCATTGGCAGCATTTCACATTGCGTTGGGAATTGCGTGTTAGTCATCTGTAATGAGACTGTAAGAAAAAACAGCAAAGGTATCCCGGTTAAGTTTATATTCTCATTAGATGACAAGATCTTAAATCCAAGGATGATGTTGTCACTGGCTGTTTTGTTTTAAAAGGCAGGCCATCTTATTATGTTAAAGGATTCATGCATTTATGGATGAGGAGAATGGAGAAAGCATCCAGACAGTGGTCAGAGTCTGTGTTGAAAACGTGAAAGAAACTGGGTCATCATGGGGGTCCTGCCACTCTTAAAATTCTGCTTATGAAACACTCCCGTCCTTTTATCTGAGGAAAGCCATCTGCAGGGTCATGCAATCTCATCCCAGGTGGCTAACTTTGTCATTGTTTTGCATGTTGTAGAGTTCCCATTTGCTTAAGCTAAGGATGTCCAAGCTGCCAATGAGTCTCTATTGCAGGACACTAGAGCTCAGACAAGGGAGCAGCACATTGCTCAGGGGAAAGTAAGGAAGAACAGAAGTAGCAAATGTTTTTCTACAAAGGTCTTTCATTCAGCACCCATCATTGAGTACCTACTGTGTGCATCCAGAGCTTGCCAGGCACTGGGAAACACTGGAGTCCCAAACCTCACAGACCCCTTTGTCTCCGGGAGCCCATGACGTTAGGCCCCAAGCCTGAACTTACAGAGGTGATCTCCTTTAATTAGACTCTTCCTCCAAAGCCCTTTCTCTCCCCACTCAGAATGGAACTCTCTTTTTGTCAAACAAGGCATCATGTTGATGTTCCAATAATCCCACAGACCTCCCTGGACTCAACTTATGATTTGTTCAACAAACTTACCATCTTCGATTCCTTTCTCTCTGCCCTGCCCCTTAACTTAGGAAATTCACAGCCAGCTTTTGAATGCATAAATAAAATACTTTAAAAAATCTTGATTAGTTAAAATTTGTTAAAATAGCTTTGAGATTACTTCCTGCTATAGGATATTTTAACTTCAGCACTGCCTCCTTCCTGGGGAAGCCAGAACGCTGAGGATGCTGAATTGGTGTTCCCAGCGGCTGATGAAGGAGGCAGTGCTGCTCGTTATCCAAGAATGATGAAAACATATACTGAGGAGGGGCTTGCTATTCTGTGCTGTGTTCCCTCTTCTTTTTCAGGTATTAGTAAATATTGGCAACCACTTTGATCTTGCCTCCAGTATATTTGTAGCACCGAGAAAAGGGATTTATAGCTTCACCATCCAGGTGGGTAGATTTGAAACTGGATCCTTTCAGGTTTGGGTTTATAGCTCCCCATTACTAAAGGCCCTTCCACCAGGTCTGTGAGGCTGAGGGAAACAGGGTGCTGGGCTCTCCAGGGGAGATGTGGCTCTGAACCAGATGGGGGTGCTCACTGTCAAGCCCCTTGGTGTGTGTTCTCGGGGAGAGATTGGGGTGGGAGTGGGGATATTTGCACAGCAGAAAACAGTGTGTGGGAGTTGGGTCCTTTATGGTCTGTTGAGCTCTACTCTCTGCATTTTAGGTCAGTTTAATGCAGAATGGCTACCCAGTGATCTCCGCCTTTGCAGGAGACCAGGATGTCACCAGAGAAGCTGCTAGCAATGGTGTTCTGCTGCTCATGGAAAGGGAAGACAAAGTGCATCTCAAACTTGAGAGAGGCAACCTCATGGGGGGCTGGAAATACTCCACATTCTCGGGCTTCTTGGTGTTTCCTCTATAAACACAGAGCCCCCTGGATGGTAGGGAAATGGCAATCTGGACCCAGGAATCCGCCCTTTAAAACACCCTAAACTTGCTGGAATTGGACACCTTGTTTCCAACCTCCGTCAGATTGTTGCAGTAGAAAAATGATTTCCTTCGAAACCTCCAATACTTTTTGCTTTTTTTTTTTTTTTTTTTTTTTTTTTTTTGGAATATTGACAATTCCTCGGGAACCTGGCCTCTAATTAGTTTTAGATGACAAGGTCTTAAGGAGAAATGAAATGATCAATTTGAGCAATTTGTACCTGTGATTGTAAAGTCAATATCGGATTTTATTGTTGGGACCATGGGCCTCTTTTGTTTGTATGTTGTATTGCTGTCCCAATGGAAGGAGAGCTCCTGACTCCAGGATGGGCTGCAGGTTGCAGTCAGGGCTCGAAGCAGGAGCTCAGCAGAGAACCACCCGCTGGACAGCCCTTGACATGTGTTCTGTGTGTGTCTGTATAGCCTTAAGAAAAAGAATGGCTTCACTTTCATTCTGTATTCTGCCCCCCACCGTGTGGATGGGAGGACTTGGGAGGGGGGCGGGGACATTGTGAACCTGTCAAGAAGTGCTTTATCCAGAGAAGCAAATTTTGCACGATTGGACTGTAACGTTTGTTTTGTATTGTTTGCGTGTTTTTTCTTTAACAGCTTTACTTTCCTTTCCGCACTCAGCTCTCCCGCCTCAACCTCACTTATTTTTCTCGCCGGGGTTGGGGAGAGAAAATATATGTTGAATTCCTGGATAAGACCAAACAAAACAAAACTTTAAAATAACTGTATTTTTTTTAGATGAGACCAAACTAAACAAAAAGTATCTGTTTATCAAAGTAAAAATAACACAATGGACAATTCTGCTTATTCTCTCAAAGAGATTCTAAGATGCACCTTTAGAACAATTAATAGCAACCTGGATTTTTTTTTTTTTTTTAATTTATACTTCAGAATCTTTTAACTTGGTGTTTCTGGGTGGTCCTGAATCACATAAGTTGGGAGTGGAAGCTGTAAAGACCAAATCCCCTACACATACTGTTTCTTTGCCGTGTGTGATGTGACTTCTCAGCGGGTGTCTTAATTTATTTGCATCCACCTCTGAGTGACCACACAGTGATCAGGTGCTTCAGAGCCGACAGGACCAGCTCCTCTTCCTCTGGATCCTCTTTTGATCTGCCCAGGAAAGGGATGCATTGACACTCTCCTGCATGCACCTGGCCAGAAGCCACCTGGAAGTCACCATGGTTAAGATATTGGTGGAGGCACCCCAGGAGCACTGATACAAATCCTTCTTGTTTTGGCGTCTTGTACAACAACATTATTAAGACACAGCTGAGAGTTGATGGATGTGTAATTCATATGCCAAGGAAATGTCAGTCATCCCAAAGCAATCAAAGAGGAGACCTCAAACCAGATGTTAATTTGTTCTTTGTGTAACAATGTAACCAAAATATTGATGATAAAAAGTCATAATTTAAGATTCAGAATAAATGGATTTGATGTCTACCTTGCTCTTATCCTCTACTTCCTATCCCAATTCGCAAAATATGTGGAAGTAAAGGCCGACTGTCAAGGACTTGGGGATGATAAATCCATACAGTGCCTCTGTAAAAAAAAATGTACTCTCAAACACACATGCCAGTATGTGCAGACCTGGCTGTGGGTCTGGATGGTTATTGTACGCTTAGATGCATTTCAGTTTATACATATGTATTTTTCGAAAAGGCAGATCTTGTGGGAGACAGGTGAAAAAGACAGCTTAAGAAGGTTTTAGGCATAGGCAGTCTGCTTTTATCACATGTCATCTTTGATGTGATAGAAGTTCTGATCCAGTATTTTCATCAGCAAACGCTGATATAAAAGAAACAAACACTTTAAGGGCATAGTTGTTTCTAAAATGTGTGTGAGGATGGAGAAACATTGGATTCCATTTTTGAAGAAGAAATTCAGTGGGGATTATACAAATAACAAAATGTATAGTTTGAAGACAGGTCTAAGTTTTACTGTCCTCAGATGAGGAACACAATGGGATGCAGAATTTTATTTGAATTAAGATGCTGTTGCATTTTGTGAGGGAAGAAATCAATAAAATAGCATTAGGGGTACCTTGGCTCTGTGATGAGCAGACATACTTCTAAATAAGAACATTATTTATTAAGGCTGATAACATAAATAGAAGGATGCTGGAACATGGCTTAATGCTCTTGGTTATTTTTGTCCTCTTTCCCTCATTTCCTTAAACTTATGTTCAATTTCAAACAAACAGGAAATCTCGTTAGGGGACAATATAATATTTCATAGATTTAAGTGTATATGAGTACTTGTTACTTTTGTCACTTAAACATATAACACATGTATGTTTGTATTACACCTTTATTAGTACAGGTTGTTATTGGGCTATCCTGTCTAATAAATAAGGTATTAAGTGGACCAATCTAAACAAGAGTATATTTCAGGAGTTTGTTTTGTGTTGGAAAAAAAACTTGTTATCCTGATTATTCTATTTTAGTTTTTTTCTCCTCCTCCTCCTCCTCCTCTTCCTTCTTCTTCTTCTTCTTTTTTTTCCCTTGAGATGGATACCAAAACCTGCCTCAGGGAGAAGCCATGCTGCTAGTGTCTCTGAGGTGGTGTCTCATCCCCTGCAGCATCTGCCAAGGTTCTGTTTGGCTGAGGATCTCTGAGGCATCTGAAGCTCCTGTGTTTTGTCTACAAAAATTTATAGGTCAGGTCAAAATGCAAAATATATTACATATATATATATATATTATTGCGTTTTAGGTTTTGGGGTACATGTGAAGAACCTGGAAACCATCATTTTCAGCAAACTGACACAAGAACAGAAAATCAAACACCGCATGTTCTCACTCATAGGCCAGTGTTGAACAATGAGAACACGTGGACACAGGGAGAGGAAAATATGTATTTTTTAATTGGAAAAAAAGAGACACCTTCATAACATCTGAAGGGCATCTGAGCCCTGTCTCTGAGCTTCAGTTTTCTCACTGGGGTGAGGGCAGTATTCATGTAAGCCTCCCCACCTCCCAGGGCAGTTGTGAGGACCACACAGAAGTGCTGTGAAAGCCGAAAACCACTAGGATAACATGGGGTGTTATCGTGGCAGGGATGGCGTTTCTGCACAAGCAGATTTTTCAACATGCAATTTACGAAAAACACTATGACTGACAGAAGGACAGTTTTATGAAAGTAAATATCCATATTTCTCAATATACTATTAAAACTGTAGCGTTAGGTTGGAATTTTGTCTCATTTGATTTTAGGGATGATAATATCCAAATCTATACATTGTAATATTAACTTAATTCTCAGTTATGTTCTTTGGCTCTCCTGTGTGGTTCAAGTTCATCTCTCTGTAGCGTGAAATGTCAACATTTTCTAAAAATATACAACTGTAACATTTTTAACACAAAAAAGAAGGTAATATTATGGCATTATAACAGTAAATTGCTCTGGCTGATAAATATTAGCCCTATTAAATTGTAAATGCTTATAAAACAACACAAGTTTTTAAGTTAAAATATATTCTAATTTAAATCACAACCTTGATGATTCAACTCTAGGTCTAGGGAAACTATGTTTACCATCTGTAATTTCTGAGCCTTTATTGCATCCTAATACTTTTGATTTATGTGTTCATGTGTATGTGAAATTATCTACATTTAAGTGTTTGCTTACAATCGCTGCTCAGAGTAAAGGTGATAGTATTTATTAAATATTAGCATGAAAACTCACGAAGCCCTGTAGAGACTACATAGATTTACCTGTTAAAAAATATTTTAAAGCTAAATATAACTATATTAAGCATCAGAAGAATTAGGAAATATATATAAAGCCAAAAAATTTGTTGAATCTTTAACTTTATTTGTAATATTTTCTTACGATCAAGAAATTACAATGGTCACATACTTAGTAACTATTACATAAATAGTGTTTGCTTGTAAATACATGAATGTATCCCTCTGAATTTTTGGCATAAAAATACGAAATGAAATACAGGAGGTGGACACATACTCCTGGAATCCAGAAACATGTGAGAGGAAATTTTGATACATCATTTTATACAAGCAAAACAAAAGCGCTGGTTGCTCCAGTATAGTTTAGGTATTGCAAAAGAAGCAAATAATGTTCTGTCAATTTGTAGAATCATAATTTTGCAATCTTTTATAAGAAAAAAATGTTGCAATGAGATGTTTGTATGAATAAAGTAGTGAATATTCATCTATATTTAGATGGCATAAGAAGCAGATAATAATCTAGTATGCATAAGTACACATCAATGAAAGACTCTTTTATATTATATTTAAGATGGGGAATTCATAGAAGCCGCTTACAATAAATCCTTCTAAAGGCTTCATTGAGCACTCTGTTGAAACACTTGTAAACCATGTAGAAAGATTAACTGTAGAACTACGATGAGTTTTGTCCTTCTGCCTTGCTTATGTGGAAATTTATTTGTCATTGAGATTCTATTGCTAAAGCTGGCACTTTGCTACTAAAATGGGATATTACAAACACATTTTTAAATTTAAGAATCAAAGCCTGTTAATTCTCATGAGACTCCTAAAATTATTTTTCTTGACTTTTAAAGAGCAAGCACACCAAATATACTGAAGCATGTTCAAATACAAATTTTGCTTTGGTTTTATCATTTTACTCTTTTTGTGTTCTGTATCTTTTTTTTTTCCTATAATACGCTATGAAGAAGCTAGCTGATGATGGCCACAATTATTAGTCAGATATGTTTGTGTAGTTGCCCCATATCACAAAACTTATTTTTGCACAGAGAATTTACCAAAGGGCATATTTACTGGCTTTGCAGACGGATGGCTACAATCTTTTAAAGATATTTTAACCGTCTGCTATGTTATATAGCTATCCATGATGTGATTGGACAGATGCAGTCCTCAAATCCTCAGTCCCCAAAAGAAAACAGCACATCAAAAATCCTTTAAAAGATCCAATGAATATAAACTTTAAAAAATGGGTATGTATGTTAGTCTGTATAACAGCATTGTGCCAAAACATGAATCTTAAGTAAATGAGCTTTCCTTGCATTCCCAGACCCAGTAGGGTAACTTGAAATTTGCAAGGGCAAAAACCACGTGATTTTGCCTCCTGTAGATAATAGGAATTCTGTTTTATCATCCTAAGTGGGTTTTGCTGTGGATTTCCATCACCAGAATTGCTCAAGTGTCTATAGCATCATAAATCATCATCTTCATCAGCTCGCCCACATACACTCACTGTGTAGTGTAAATGAGCTACTTGACAACTTAATTTGGAAAAGAAATCTTCCTTCCCTCTTCTTCATGCCTACAGCAGGACTCCCCAGGGTTAAAGTGCTGCTTTGCACTGGGGGCTATCCTAAAAAAATGGAAGCTACTAATTAATGAGCCACTACCAGTGTTGCAACCTGACTAGTAATGAATGTAACTTCTAATATTGTTCCCCTGCTTTCTTCAGGAATGCTGACTTCTTTTGAATTCACATCAGGTTGCAATAAACTCTTGGTTGGAGAAGAATGTTGGCAATACTCAGGAATGTGAAACTCCTGAGTGTTTTGCTGAAGTCTGTTCGATCTAACTTTATTTATTTAAAAATACTTATATTAAACTCTTACGTCTTCAAAGTCCTCTAGGACATAGGGCATTTTCTACACTTTATACCAAAAAGAAACATTTATAGTGATTCTGGGTGCAGCATTATTGTAACGGACACAATGAAAATATTATCGTAGGAAAAAGAATATCTAGAAATAGCCAAATTAATTGAGTAAGAATTGGCAAATTTTTCTTATTACTAAAATCATTTGCAATATTTTTACATGGATCTTAAAGATTCCCTGCATTCCTAAAAGTATATCACTCTATATAACATTTATCGTTGAATTGCTAGTTTTCTTTTATAATTCTATAACTACTGGATCATGAATAATATACTTTCAGAGAGGAGATTATCACTGAAAAACAAATTTAGGGCATGAACATGTGATACTGTCTTCTAATTACCAAGGACCATGTCAGGATGTCATAGCACAGTTTTTGTTCTGAAATTGTAAAGTGTCAGTGCAAGGAGCAATCATAGGACTTATAAAAATGATCTATTCTTTTGGAAAGAAGGTGTATATATTTTCTTTTCATTTCACAACATTTATATATAGCAGTCTAGGGCCCAGACAGTGTGCTTAAGGATGGTGATAGAAAAATAAAGACTATGAGCCCAACAAGGGCCATAGTCCTTCTTAAAAAGAATGTTCAGAATAATCCTGGAGTATACTCAGCTAAACTGATGGTGAGGGGGTGGGTTGGGGTGGGTGGGATGGAAATGTAAATGCGTATTTACTGAAGTGAATGATGTAATTTCATTTTTTACATATGAGGAGGAGAATGTTATTTTGACGTTGACATTGAATTCTGAACATCAGTTAATATCCAGAATGAAAGGGACCCGCATTTTGAATATGGCCACAGACCTAGCAAACCAATTGCAAACTAGGGCTTGTGAACCAACCTTGGAAGGATTGAAGTGGACAGAGACAGACACAGGGAATTTCCATCATTTTAAAACATGAAGGATAAACTATAGTAGCCATTTTTGCAGCTGATTATTTTTCACGGACTTCTATGTAGTGAATTATTTGGGAAGGCAGAAGGCATGCTAGAATTAGTCAAATCCTTAGAAGACAGTCATGTAGCAATATACAAATGAGGCATGATTTGAAGTCTAACTTAAACAGAACTGAATGGGGGACCATTTTTAGTACATTGACTTTTTTTTTTGCAAGATATTAACTTACTGAATAAAAACATAAGAAGAAACAAAAGGTAAATGTGAGACTAAATGGCATTGGAAGGAAGTTTAAGTTCTATACATTCTATACAACATTTATGTGTAGCAGCCTAGGGTACAGACACTCGGGACCAGGCACACACTTGTGTGTGTGTGTTTGAAGATAAACAAAAACTTACCATTAGAATGTACCCAGTACGAAAATGCCTCTTATGTCCCTGAAGCTGCACTGTTCCTGAAACTTGCCTTCAGCAAATAAGGAGATGATAGGCCTAAGGGCCTTTACCCATTACATATTTCACTTTTTATCTCAATTATTTGGTCCATGCTTCACAATTTATTTCTTGTATTCAATCTTAGGAGTTTATTTCACCAGAAGGTAGAAATTACATCTGGTCTCCCTGACAGACAGAGATTGAGAACTGTTGAGAATAATTAGGCCATCTGGTGCTATAAATCCGATGGAAAGTTATGATCAGTGGATCATGGCCTAATCTGCTCTTCATCCATTGCATCTGAATTATCTTGGCACAAAAGAATGACAAGGGGCTGGATTTTTAAAGGAAATCGCCACATCTCCCCAGTCATTAGCAGGCAAAGGCATGCGTGCATCAGACTGTGGTAATTAGGGAA